CTGTCAGCATTCACAGACCACAGTAAGAACAGACCCAGTTCGTCACACCGCGCTTCTGGGGAGGGGCACGTGACTGCTCTTGCAGCTTCCCTTTGCTTCCCCATCAGACAGTCATTTTTCTGCAGGGAAGCAAAGAATTCTGTGCGCATGCAGTGGCGCAGAATTCCCGCAAGAGTATTCTTTACCTGGAGGAAAAAACCTGAATCAACATAAGAATGGCCATATTGGGTCAGACCAAAGGTCCATCTAGTCCAGTGTCCTGTCTTCCGACAGTGGCCAATGCCAGGTGCCCCAGAGGGAATGAACAGAACAGGTGATCACCAAGTGATCCATCCCCTGTCACGTATTCCCAGCCTCTGGCAAACACAGGCTGGGGACACCATCCCTGCCCATCCTGGATAATAGCCATTGATGGACCTGTCCTATTAACTTATCTAGTTCTTTTTTTAACCCTGTTAGTGTCTTGGCCTTCACTATATCCCGTGGCAAAGAGTTCCACAGGTTGACTGTGCATTCTGTGAAGAAATACTTCCTTTTTATTTGTTTTAAACCTGCTGCCTATTAATTTAATTTGGTGACCCCCTAGTTCTTGTGTTATGAGCTGGAGTAAATAACACTTTATTTACTTTCTCCATACCAGTAATGATTTTATAGACTTCTATCATATCCCCCCCCCAATTGTCTCTTTTCCAAGCTGAAAAGTCCCAGTCTTCTTAATCTCTCCTCATATGGAAACTGTTCCATACCTTTAATCATTTTTGTTGCCCTTTTCTGTACCTTTTTCACTTCCAATATATCTTTTTTGAGATGGGGCAACCACATCTGCACACAGTATTCAAGATGTGGGCGTACCATGGATTTATAGAGGCAATATGATATTTTCTGTCTTATTAGCTATCCCTTTCCTAATGATTTCCAACATTGTTTGCTTTTTTGACTGCTGCTGCACATTGAGTGGATGTTTTCAGAGAACTATTCACAATGACTCCAAGATCTTTGAGTGGTAACAGCTAAATTAGACGCTATCATTTTATATGCATAGTTGGGACTATGTTTTCCAATGTGCATTACTTTGCATTTATCAACAGTGAATTTCATCTGCCATTTTGTTGCCCAGTCACCCAGTTTTGTGACATCCCTTTGTAACCCTTCACAGTCAGATTTGGACTTAACTATCTTGAGTAGGGTGACCAGATGTCCCGTTTTTAAAGGGACAGTCCCGCTTTTTGGGACTTTTTCTTATATAGGCGCCTATTACCCCCCTACCCCGTCCCATTTTTTCACAGTTGCTGTCTGGTCACTCTAATCTTGAGTAATTTTGTATCATCTGCAAAATTTGCCACCTCACTGTTTACCCCATTTTCCAAATAATTGATGAATATATTAAACAGTTCTGATCCCAGTACAGACTCTTGGGGGGCACCACTATTTACTTCTCTCCAGTCTGAAACTGACCATTTATACCTACCCTTTGTTTCCTATCTTTTAACTGGTTACTGATCCATGAGACGCCCTTCTCTCTCATCCCATGACAGCTTACTTTGCTGAAGAGCCTTTGATGAGGAACCTTGTCAAAGGCTTTCTGAAAATCTAAGTACACTATATCCACTGGATCCCCCTTGTCCACATACTTGTTGACCCTCAAAGAATTCTAGTAGATTTAAGATTGAAATGGTCTTTGGGAGCAAGAAAATGCAGCAGATCACTCCCACTCATTGGGGTCTGATTCCCCCTAGTGGCCATTCCGTGTAATTGATTGAAATACCACACCACTGTTAAACTTTTTTTCTGTCTCCTGTTGCATTAAATATGTAACTAGCAGCCTTGTGCCCAGGGTAACTCGCTGCCACAAGATGTTACTGAACTCAGCAGGATTCATAAAAGGACTGGCCCTTGATGTGGGTAATGGGACCATCCAGAGATATCCTGGAGAGGGTTCAGTGTCTAGAGCAGGGGTCGGCAACGTTCGGCACGCGGCTCGCCAGGGTAAGCACCCTGGCGGGCCGGGCCAGTTTATTTACCTGCTGATGTGGCAGGTTCGGGCGATCGCGACCCCCACTGGCCGCAGTTCACAGTCCCGGGCCAATGGGGGCTGCGATCGGCCGAACCTGCCGCGTCAGCAGGTAAATAAACTGGCCCGGCCCGCCAGGGTGCTTACCCTGGCGAGTCGCGTGCCGAACGTTGCCGACCCCTGGTCTAGGGGGTATGAACTCTCCTGCTTCAGGCCGTGAGCCAGCTACTGACAGACAGAAGTGTCCTCCTGACCCCTCCGGGCAGGTTATTCTCTCTGAATCAAGATACAAATAGAAGGACTATGAACCTTCCTGCTTTGGGGCCTAGCCACCCTCTGACTGCATTTGGGGGAAATGTTCTCTGGGGCCGGCTATCCCACCACTGCCCACTAGGAGGTGTATGTTGCCCTCCCTCTGAAGCAGGTAGTGCTGGTGGCTCTCTGAGATCTGCCGTCTACCCCAGTAGTGTGATCCAGTCTGGCAGTTGCTGTGTTTCTGTTGCTGCTTGTTCTCCACAGGTACTAGGGAAGGGACGATCTCTCACCCTGGGTGTTCTCTCTCTCTTATCTTTTTTTTTAGTGGAAAAATGTAAGCACTCTTCTCAATGCCCCTCTGCTGCCTCCCGGTGTCCGGACGGCTGGATCGGGATCCAGGGGAAATTCTACTATTTTTCGAATGTTCCAGGGAATTGGACCTACAGCCAGAGCTTCTGCTCTTCACACGGTGCCTCCCTGGCCGGGATTGAGAGTCCGCAGCAGCTGGTGAGAAGCCTGGATAGATGCTTTGTGCCAAGCCCAGCGATCGCTGGCACCACAGACAGGGCTGGAGTCAGGCTGGGCTCAGCCCCTGTAGGGCAGAGAGGAGCCCGGGTGCCTCCCAGGTTGGGTGGCCAGAGTCAGTGTAGTTCTGGCAGCTGAATCCTGGCTGGACCTGGGGCTCCAGCCACCTCGACCCTGCATCTGCCAGAGCCCCAGAGGGAGTCTTGCCCTGTGCAGGGCTGGGCCGGCTCAGTCAGCTACCAGCTGATGCGCTGCCTGGGGGCTGGAGGGGGTGAGAACCTCCTCCCCCTCCAGCTCAGCCCAGCCCCAGGGTTCCCGCATGGGTGGGGAGGGGGGAGTCCAGCTGAAGGTGAGGCCTGCTCTGTGCCTGCTTCCCTCAAGTGCTCTGCTCCAGTGGCTGGGATCTGTCTGCCCTCCCCTTGCAGCCCCCTCTCCCCCCCCGGCCCTGCCGTGCTCTGAGAAGGGGCTGCTGGGCAGACAGTGACCTTGCAGCTCAA